AAAGGACTAAGCAATTACTATACAATTTGGCAACATATAGTACTATAGTAAGGGCAACTATCATTGGTATGGTGGAATGAGAAGCTAGGCTGAAGATTTAAGAGTGAATAAGTGCACAATACTATCTAAGAAATAAGTTTACTTTTAAAAATATCAAATCTGAATCAAATCAAGCTTCTACATGTAACTACCAATTTACAGAAAATGCAGGGGACAGAAGAACATCTTACACGAAACCACAAGGATGCCATCAGCACGATTCAGACAGAAATCTCACAGTGTAAATGATCAGATTTCTTCAATAAACCAATTCTATGCAAACAACAGCACAAAGATGGAAGGCAATGGGGCAATGGTCCTTGCCTGTAATCCCAACTACTTAGGACACTCAGAGGGATCACAAATTCAAGGTCAGCCTGAGTAACTTAGCAAAACCCTATCCCAAAATAAAAAATGAGTATTTACATCAATACAAATGAGTATCTACATCAATAGTAAAGCACACCTGGGCTCCAGGCCCAGCACTGTAATTTTAGCAATCTGGGAGGCAAAGGATCACAAGTTCAAACCCAGCCTGGGCAATTTACCAATAGTACCCAGACCCTGTCTCAAAAAATTTTTTTTAAATCAAAGAGGACTCAGGATGTAATTCAATTTCTAACACCATTAAACAATGGAAGGGAAACCACAGATGTTAAAAAAAAAAAAAAAAAGAGTTGAGACATTTAAATCCAACAGAACATATGGATCTAATCTGATCCAAATTCAAACAAACTAACGGCATGGTGGGGCACACCCGTAATCTCAGCACTCCAGAGGCTGAGACAGGAGAATTGCCACGAGTTCCGAGTTCCGTTCCGAGGCCAGCCCAGGCTACATAGTGAGTTCAAGGCCAGCCTGAACTACATCCCCAGACCTTGTCTCAAAAGAAAAAAAAAAAATCAAACAGACTAAAAGCAAAACAAAAACTGTTACCAGGGAAATGTGAACATTGACTAGATATTGAAGATACTAAAAAATTTCTGTCAACTTTTTAGTATATAATATTGTTTCAATCACTATCTTTTACAGACACATAATGAAATGTATACAAAGTGTATCTTTCACTGTCTCCCACTGACATATTGAGCTCTTTGTCACCCATCAGACTAGTCCCATAGTAGCTGTTTAACAATTACAGAGAGATACAAAGTGATACAGGGATTCAAAGCAAGTAGATCCTAACTGGAGTAGGCTGGGAAGTCAAGTAAAACTTTAGGAAGCCTGGGGCTGGGGATTTAGCTCAGTGGTTCCGTCCCTACCTCGCAAACGCAGGGTCCCAAGTTCAAGCCTTGGCAGACACACACACACACAAAAACTTTAGGAAGGCAACTATACTTGCATCAGGCCTTAAATGATGATGAAATTTTAACAGAAAGGAAACATGCGAGGAAAAAAATGACATCCCAGGTAGAAGAAATGGAAGCAACTGAAAAGAGGTGAGAAAGCCGCTACAGATGTATTGAGCTCTATTCAACTCTCTATAAAACTGTTCCTTCCTGAAGGATGCCATGAAAAGGAAAAGTCAAAGTAAACAGCATAACCCACCAAGCAAATTCAAATTAATAAAATGGTAGGTCAGCCATTTAGCCCCAAACTACTTCCAGGGAACCCTCAGGAAGTATAGTCTCTGGGTAACCAAACCATACTGGCTTTCCAGGGAAACCTATTGATGTCACTCCTCTTTCCCCCCTTTTCCCCTTCCTCTACAAGGAAGCTTGGCAAAAGAATTCATCAGAGTCTTCTACCTGTTCCAGGAAATGATTATTAAAATAATTACGTTTTTAAGAGTATCTACTAATAAGTTGTATCTCCCTACACCACAAGAAAACCACTACACCACAGTTCATTAGGCACTCCACGCAAGATAAAGTTACACGAGATGCCTTCCCCTCAGAACACTGCTCGGGTTAGACTTTGTTTTTTTTTCCTGTCCCCGGGATCAAACTTGGGACCTTGTGCTTGCAATGCAGGTGCTAGAACCACTGACCTAAATCCCCAACTAGACTTTTTTTTACTGAAGCAGAGCTAATGGAACAGGTAGATCTTTAAGAGTTTTTTATTCCTTCAAAAATAGATCAGGTGGGGGCTGGGGATTTAGTTCAGTGGTTTCGCTGCCTGCTGCGCAAGTGCAAGGACCCGAGTTCAATCCCCAGTACCAAAAAAAAAGATCAGGTGGCTGAGCGTGATGGCTCATGCCTGGGATCCTAGGAGGGTCACTGTGAGTTCGAGGCCAGCCTGGGCTACATAGTGAATTCAAGGCCATCCTGAACTACACAGTGAAACTCTCTCAAAAAACAAACAAAACAGAACAGGTAATCCCAACATTAAAATATTTTGGAACTAAATTTAGTGGTTCTAATATCTTCTATGTTTCAAAACCATTAAAATTCTCATGGGGCCGGGGATTTAGCTCATGGGTTCCACCGCCTGCCTCCCAAGCACAAGGTCCCAAGTTCGATCCTCAGAACCAAAAAAAAATTCTCAGAATATGAGGACAGTCAAAATGAACATCGAGACAAAAAGGAATGTAAATGATCAGCCAAAAGTTAATAATTGGAATGTCTGTTGCTCTGTTCTATGTACCAGAGCATAACTTCAAATAACAAAGATGGGCAAGTATAGGAGTTGGAAAAAGTGGAGATGCATTTCTTGAACCAAAGGAAAAAGCAGCAAGGTAACAGGTCAGGTTAGCTTTGAACAGTCTTTAGTCACTAACTACACCTTATTTGACAATAACTGAGACTGGCAAACACCCTTCCAGAAATCAAATATAATTGTTCCAACTTATGAGAGGAAATGAACAGGAAGGGTAAAATATGAGAGTTGTGGGAAAAACAAGAAAGCTTTATAAAGGAAAGTTTTTAGATATCTGTAGAATAGAGTTAAAACAAAAAAAAAAAATCTAAGCCATCAATTTTTATGATACAAGTTACACTTCTGGGTCACTGTTCAGGTGTGCCCTCCACATTTAAGAATGCTCTTTGATTTTATGAAAAATACTACAAAGTAAAGGAAAGGCCACATAAGTTTTGGACTCAGTTCTAAACCAGTGATGGCCACAAAAGAAGAAATACCTGTTTTCTTTGTTCCTCTCAGGTGCACATAAACCATGCCATTTACCTACCTCTTCAAAAGAGGTAAAATATATAACTTTTAGAAAGTTTCATCTTATATCTCCCATTCTGAAGATGATACTCATTTTTGCCCCTTCAAATACTGATTGCTTGGTAGCGTAGCTTTCTTTAATGTTACCTAGTTAATCCAAATTTTAGATTGGATAATTTGATATAACAATTTCAGGTTCAAAATGCTATCACATTCTAGGCCCGGGGATTTAGCTCAGTGATTTTGCCACCTGCTGTGGAAGCACAAGAACCCAACTTCGATCACCGGTACCAAAAAAAAGCTATCACATTCTAATCCAACCTAATAAATGTATAAAATATTAAGGAGGGAAAAGATAAACATGATACTTACCATAAAGATACTACAACAGACGTAAAAGAAAAATGACAATCCAAGGTAGAATATATTAACTGTTACAAAAGGGGTACAATAATTAAAAGGTACAGAACAGAGAAGAGTGTATGAATCTAAGTATGAGACTCTTAACAAGCAGAAAGTGAACTGGAATGAAAACACTGTGTCTTAGGAATTCTTAATTACACAGCTTCCCCAAAGCACTGTCAGGGAACCTTACACCCCCAAACTTGCAGAATGAATTTCAATTAAAACAGTTAAGGTCGGGGCGGGGATTTAGCTCAGTGGTTTCGCCGCCTGCTGCAAAAGCGCAAGGACCTGAGTTCGATCCCCGGTCCCAAAAAAACAAACAAACACTTAAGGTCTTTTAAAAAAAAAAAAATCGAACAATAAAGACTTAGTTAGTTACCTTACCTTGTCCTCACTGCAGGCAAAATATGTATAAAGTAAAATCTGCCTCCTGTTCCTACCGAGTTAACAAAAATCAGCCTTCAAACCACCACAATCTGAATGAATCTGCTGGTCTTTTTTAAAAAATGCTTACAAAGGTTTTTAGTCAGTTCACTCTGAAAGATAATTAAAAATAACTTATTGAAATATGTTTTATGTTTAGAGAATGAAAAATGCAGTGACTGATAAGGAAAATAAACGCGAGAGATTTGAAGAAACAGCTTTGTTGAGAACCCAGTGGCCACTTGCCAACACTTCATTATGCACATACGACCAAAGACGATTCTAGGCAGACTCAGCCACAAAGCCTCTTTATCAAATCCCAAATTAAGAAAGTTCTCATAAATACGTGAAGGTGGATAAGCTAAAAAGCAGTTAAATAAAAGGCAGTATAAAGCTCTGCAGAATCAATATAGAAACACAGCGTTAAGCTTTTCACAACTAGGCCCTAAAAAATAGCAGACATTTTAAACGTCACACAAATAGCCTATTCACAGGCACTTATAACTTAAATTGTGTCAAGAAAAATAGCAGACACTTGAAACGGGACTGGCCTTAGTTTACAATCTCCCTATAGGCCAGCAGGGAATAAATCGCACAATCCTGAATTCTGACAAAACTACGACAACCCTAAATCGAACTCTTCGTCTTCGTCTGAACTGCACACACAAGCATTTCAGATCTGTACTTTCAACTCCCTAGAAATGATGTCGTCGGTGAATGGAAAGGCAAGAAGGCTACTCCCCAAACTCCTGTATCCCATTATCCAACCTCAAAGAGTGGAAGGAACAGCAAAGTGGAACAAAGCACTGACGTCAATTACGAGATTAACCTCGAGCACAGGCAGCTGAGGGAAAGGCCTAAACATCAATATCCTAGCGCAAGCTCTGGGGTAACCGGGAAAAAGCCCGATCGGAAGCTCGGGGGGGGGCATTCAAGGATTACACCCCACGTTTCCATTTTTAGTCAACCCCCTTGGCTCGTCGAAGGCGGTATTTTTCCTTTTTTTTTTTTTTTTTTGCAGAGGAGGGCGAGGTGGGGGAGGTGCGCAGGATCGCGAGAAGGAAAGCGAGAACTAGTTGGTAAGGATAGCCAGAAATCGGGGCCTATTTTCTCTCCCACCAGAATAACCTGAAATTGAGGCGGGTACTAAAAGGAACAAGTCGGCCGACGGGCTGTCTGAGGGAGGGGGATGGACCCCGGGAGGAAAGGTGAAGGCGGCGAAATGATGGGCGCCGGGAATGCTGGTGGGGCTCGGGCTGGCTTCTCTTTCTCTGCCGACGCGGGGAGAGCGCGGATGAGGCCGAGGCCGAGGCCGATGGCGCAGCCCCGCCGCCCGCCCCCCCGGCCGCCCCGCCGCCAGCCCTGCTCACCTCTAGCCCCGGCTCCGCTAGGCCCGAACCATCTCCCGGCCGCGGCGGCGGCGGCGGGGCTGTACCTTCACCGGACGCGCATTCGGGCC